TGGATTTGGGTGCACACTTGGCCTCATCAGGCCAGTGGGAACCACATGGCATCCTTCAGGCTGCCTGTCGGAACCGGGATCTGCCCACACTCCAGGGCCCCGGGTGGGGGTCTGAGCTGCTCCTTCGGCACTGAATGTGTCCTCTGTGCACAGAGCGTGGCTGTCTGGAGCGGGCGCGTCCCCGGACAGCAGTCCCATTGTGCAGACCCTGGCTCCCAGCAGCTGTCGCGGGGCCTGAGAGGCTGCGGGTGCAGACACAACCCCTCTCCTGGCAGCTGCCTGGCTTCCTAGGACGGGCACCCAGGAGGCCTCGCCCAGCACCACGTGTCCCGGGGCCGGGGTGGGTGGTCAGGCCGCAGCCCCCAAGCTGCAGGGAGGCAGAGCGGGGACCCGCTGGCAGCGCCTGCCTCCCCACCCAGCCCTCTCCCGCAGCTGTGCCCGGCTCTATTTAAGGCATTCCGCAGCTGCTCGGCTGCATTCCCTGGATGCGCCCTCATTCCTTCCTCCTCACCTCTGTGCTGGGCTTGGCAGACAGCTGGGGGGGCCAGCGAGGGAGGTGGGGTCTTTTTTCTGGGCCCTGCAGCCCAGCCCTGTCCTCCCTGGCCCCAGCTCTGCCCCACCTTGAAGGAGACACACCTGGGCCCGGCTGCTCCTCCACCATGTCCTCCTGTCCCCCTGTGCGTGGGGTTTGTCTGCATCAGACCAAGCTGTGCACAAGCCTCAGGGACAGATCAGAAGAGGGAGCCAGTTCTTAAAAGCAGGAAAGAGAAAGAGACCCAGTCCCCCAAGGAAAGAGGGTGACTGGACGCTCTCTGGGGCCACGGCAGGAACAGGGGAGGAGCCCAGAGCAGAGGAGTCTTCCAGGTAAGACAGCCAGGTGGGGCTGTTCCTGCTGGAGGCACGGCCTTTGTCCCACCAGGACAGAAACACTTAGCCCCCCACAGAAGGAACTCCTGCGGGCCAAGGGCCCAAGGCACAGCGAGACTCAAGGCCACTGCTTTATCAGACGCCAAGCCCCTCCGCATTCCCCAAGCTCCTGCCCTAGGCCAGGTGCTGGGTGAAAGGATGGACAAGATGTGGACCCCAGTTAGTGAGGTGTCCTGTAAACATGCGGGGTGTCTAGGGAGCCTTCGCAGAGCTGGGCCCTTCCTCCCTCATCAAATGGTGGTTCCCCCCCACTTCACAGACTCCCATCCCCACCCAGACACTTCTGGGGTGCATCACAGCCTCCCACTTCCCTGCCTGCCCCTCCTCACTGTCCCCAAAGCCTTCTCTGCCCAGCCTCCTCCAGCCTCATGTCCCTGCTGGGGGTCCAAGGAAGCCCTGTGTTCGTAGCCCCAGTGTTCCCCTCCGGGAAGTGGGGCCTTCCCTGCTCTGTCTCAGCCCCTGATGGGGACCTGGTGCAGCAGACACCCAGGGACACCTGGAGGGGGCAGGCTCACCTCGCCTGCCAAAAAGCCATGCCTACCAGCAGAGGCACAGGGGACCTGACACCCCCTTCCTTAAGGCTCTACCCACGACTGAGGATATTTCTAGATGTTTTTAGTCAGAGGAAAACCCTACCGAGACACTCGCTGCATCCACCCCACCCCAATGTCACACCACATCACAGGAGGCCCCAGCACCACCATGGACTGGACACCTGTCTCGGTCGCTGGGTGGCTGGGCACAGGCAGCTGCACCTGGAGAGCTCAGACCACCCCCCACCCCCCCTCTGCCCCTGCCTCGGGCCAGCAGGCCCAACCCCTCCCTCGTTTGACAGATCGAGAAACTGAGCTGGGGAGTCGGGGAGAGGAAGGGGTGCTAAGCGATGGCTCAGAACCAGCCAGGCCATGGGACGGAGGCTGGACTCGCCCAAGAGCTCAGCCAGGCGCCAGCCTGAGGACACCCCACTCCACGCTGCCGGTCACCCTGGCCTCCCCCACGCCTCCAATGAGCATCCAGAGACAGCACAGAACCAGACCCAGGAGTGAGCGGCCAGCGCCCGCCTTATAAGGCAGCCTCGGGGAAACTTGGCCGGTGGAGCCAGGAGGGTGGCTCCCGGGGGAGGAAGAGCCAGGAGCATGCCTTGCAGACATGGTTCTGGGTCCTGCAGCCAGCCCCACCCAGAGCCACCCAGGCAGGGGCAGAGGGAGAGCTGGGACCTGGGAGAGGAAGCAAGGATGATCCCACAGGACAAGAAGGAGCATGTCTGGTTCAGGACTGGGGCCAGCAGCCTTGGAAACCAAGAATTCAACACGCCAGAGTGAGTGGGTCAGATCTGCGGGTTCTCGGTTGACCAGGGAAGTATCTGCTCGGTCCCTGGGGGGCTCTCGTGGGGCCCCTGAGGTCCCTGCACCTGCCTGTAAGTCACAAAGACGCCGCCCCATGTCACTCCTCCAACATCGTTTTATTGAGCATCTACTATGTCTAAGTCACTCAGCATCTTACGAGATGCTTTAAAAAACAACAGCCCCACCATCAAGTAACCTAGAATCCCATGGTTTCAGGGAGGTCCATCTAGGAAGCAACTCAGCTGAGACCCCAGGAGACCCTGTCCTGCACCCACGGTCACAGACTGGAAGGCTTCCCGGAGGAAGAGGCAGAGGGCTGGGTCTGACCCAAGGGCACAGAGCTCCCCACCTCCCTGGTCCTTTGCCCCTGCAGTGCCAGCTGGCCCTCAGGTATGAGGGGTAGTGAGCCCACAGAGGGCAGCCAGAGCAGGGACCGCTGGCTGGGGGCTTCCAAGGGCACCCAACCCAGCCCCCCCTGGAAGGGTGGAAAGGGATGGGAGCACCAGGTCTGCAGGAAAGATGGACAGGAAATAAGAACCAGGTCTGTGCCGGCAGGGACTGGACAGGCCGAGACCAGAGGAGGGGGAAGGAGGGAGAAGCAGACGGAGCCCCAGAGCAGGGGCTGGGCGGAAGCTCAGATCTGGGGTCCCTAGAAGCCACTGCAATAGATTCCGGGAACACCTCTCCATCGGGAAGGCCCTGCCCCCAACCTGGACTGGCCCGAGACCTCAGGACTGGACGTCCAAGGCTGAGCCGGCGAAGGTCAAATTCCCCAGCCAGTGGGCCTTGCCTCCTCCTCCTCCCAGCCCAATTCTCGCCCTGCGTTACTTCCAGGCTCACGCTGCAGTGACCTCTGGAGTGCTATTTTAAATGAAAAGAATTGTCCCAGGCAGTCATCCAAGCCCCCACCTCCTCCAAATCCACGTATCCGACCTCTCTGTCGCTTCTGCCCATCCCCCTGCCTGATTCAAATGCACCTGAAGGGTCTTAACCCGTGAGTTCTGGTGTCAGGGAGCCCCCTTCCCAGCCAGCCAGTAAGACATGGAGGGACAGGGCTCAGCACACGTGTAAGTTCACCCCTGTGTACACACTGGCACACGTGCCAACTAGGCTAGCTCGAGCTCCAGGGGCGGGAGGACAGCCTCCCTGGCCCACGGACCTCTCCACGAAGAGCTGGACTCCCGCCTGCCTGGCGGGGGCAGCGGGTCTGGGGTGCCGGCGGCGCTCCTCTCGCGGCCAGCGCAGACGTTGAAACCTTCTACCCCGGGGAAACCACACAGTCCCGTCCGAGTCCCAGGCTCCCCGACCCCTCTGCACTGCTGCCTCCACTGCGGATGCTTTTCTCTCCGCCTCTTTGCTGATTAAATGCTACCCTGTCTAAATGCAGCTGATGAAGCCTCGGCTCCCGGGGGCCTCCCACAGCAACCCCGACCCCGTTCTGTTCCTCGACGGCTGCTCACGTCCTGCTCCCGAGGCAGAGCGGGCCTGGCCACCCGTGCCCACGTGTGAACAGTGTCAGCAGTGTCTGCTGCCGGAGGGAGCAGTTCTGGTCCATGCCTGAGGCTCTGCCCCGCCCACCCTGATGACCAAGGACAGTGCCAACCTGAGCAGACACCCCGCCTGCCTGTCCCCCAGAGCCAGGACCACCTCCCCGGGCATCCAGCGCCAACTGTCATCCAGATCTGGACGGGCCCGGTGATAACCATCTCCCCAGCCACATCCTGTTTGACTCAGCTGAGTGCGCGCACCTCACCTCCGGGAGGGGAGCATATCCAGCAACAAAGGCCCTAGACCAGCGGAACACCGTGAGGAAACAGCCTCTCAGCCACTCCCCAAACATCAGCCTAGGTCCTGACACCAGCACCACTGTGCCTGGGGGGTGGGATGGCTCTGCAGGGTCCTGGGGAGGGGGACGCGGACTCACGTCAGGACTGGAAGGGACCTCCAAATGTCCTCTGTCCCCATGCCCAGCACCATAGGAAATTCAGAGTCAGCCCCTCACCCCCAACCTGACCGGCTCAGTCAGATGTGCACTTGAGCAGAACGTGGCTGCTCCCACCGAAGTGTGAGAGGCAAAGGTCTCACCCAGCACCTCCTGTTCCCACCCCCTCACAGGTCCGCGAGTCCACTGACCACTGGAAAACTCTCATTCAAACAGAAAACCAGAAAGAACTGAAACTAGGGTCTCAAGATATTTGCCCACCCATGTTCATCGCAGCTTTATTTACAACAGTCAGGCAGTAGAAGGACCCTGGGTGTCCATCAACGATGGATGAATAAGCAAAGTGTGGTCCATCCGTACAAGGGAATATTACTCAGCCTTAAAAAGGAAAGGAATTCTGACACTCGCTACAACATGGATGAACCCTGAGAACATGATGCTCATGAAGTAAGGCAGACACAAAAGGACAGACACTTATGACTCCAACATGAGGTGCCCAGAGTAGTTATGTTCATGGAGACAGTATGAGGTGACACCATGGCCCCTGTTGACCCACAAATGGGGCCCCTCACAACCTAGAGGTTCTTTGCAAAGTCTAACTCAGATCCAACTTGCTGCATCTTGGTCCATCCCCCTTGGACAGAAAGAATTGCCAGTCTCTTCCCCTGAGCTTTCAGAAGCACAAACCCCCCACTCAATAGCTGGCATCTTCCTCCAAGACTTAGGGCGAAGCCAGCTCCCCACCCCCATCACCGCAGACGGAGGACCAGCGCCTAGCTACTCACCCTCCTGGCTCTTGGGTGGGGCCTCGGCCATGGGGGGCTGGGGCTTGGGCTCCAGCCTGCTCTGCAGCTGAGACATCGGGATGGGTTCTGAATTCTCCAGGGCCAGGGGTGGGATGGGGGAGGCGGGTGCCTCGGCTGGCTTGGGCACCTGGATCTCGACCCTCTTGGGGGCTGCGTCGGCGGCGGGGGCGGCGGGCACCTCGGGGATCTTGGAGGCAGGGGTCTCCACCCTCCGGTGGGCTGACTCCTGGGGCTTGACTATGGTGATCTCCGTCCTCCGAGGGGCGGACTCTGGCGTCTTGTGGCCCAGCGCCTCGGCCCTCTTGAGCCCGAACCGGGACGGCCCAGCGGTGCCGGCGTTCTCTACCTGCTTGGACGAGATGTCGATGGAGATCTCGGTGCGCCGAGACACGGGCTCGGCCTTGGGCCCCGAGAGCTCGACCCTCCGCAGGGCAGCCTTGGGGGATCGCTGGCTTAGGGAGTCTACATGGCGGGCTGCGGGCTCTGAATTCTTCACACCCAGGTCCTGGAACTTCTGCGTGGAGCTGGCCACAGTGGCCCGGAGCAGGGGAGTCTGGACCCTCCGGGGCGGGGTGGAGTTGGGCGTCTCGACCTCCTCGACCTCAAAAGATCTTTTCAAGGCTGAAAGAGAGAGAGAGGAGAATGTGATGAGCAGAGAGCTCGAGAACTCCTAGAATATCCTGCTAACGGTGAGCATCGGAAGGTAGCTGGCCGGGATGCTACAGGGAGGACCCCCGGGGAGACTCTTGCACCCTTCACCATTCAAGAAGAAAAGGGGACAGCCCCAGGCTCTTAGGGGACGAGGCACCAGCAATCAAGTGCTCTGGGAGAGAGAGAAAAGGCTGAAGCTTGCAGGATGCATCCTGTGTCCTCTCTGTCCTGCTGTAGCCATGGCCCCGCCAGCTACGTTTTCTAGAAGGACGTTCTGGCTCAAGAGGGGCCTTTGACTTCTTTGTCATGGCCTCTTTCATCACTCCTCACCTCCACCCAACACAGACACCATCAGCAAACACACCATCAGCAGCAGTGGGGGGGGGACACCCTCATAGTAACAGCCACAACCATAACCAATCAGAATCACGATGGTAATGACATCATCACATCGACAACAGCACGCACAGCCGACACTGAAGTCCTGACAAAGGCAAGGCACGCGCTGACTGCGGGCAATCCTGTTTACTCCTCACCATAACCCCACGGTGTAACTGAGGCTATAATCCCCTGGTGCAGGCAGGAAAACCGAGGCCCGGGTGTTTAAGCAATGTGCCCGGCGGCGTGGAGGGAGTGGCAGGGCCAGAAGGTGCATGTGTCTAACGCCAAGGCCCCAGGCTCTAACCACCTGGCTGTCCCCCTCCTGGTAGGACAACGAAGAGCCCTGGCACAGTCCGCACCACCGACTTTCTTAGCTCCCGCCCTCGGCTGCATCTGCCTCCATCCTTTTCTACTTGCCCGGGCCGGGCCTGGGCCCCCGCGGGATGCTGACCACCCAACTCCCAGCACTTCTGCCCGGCCACCCGCCATTTCCGCCAGGATCTGCTCTCTCCAAGGCGGTGGGGACAGTGCCTGGGAAGCCACCATCCCCACAGTCCCTGCAGCCTTGCGGCAAACGAGAACCAGCTGCTTCTGGTTATAAAGACCAGAGCAGGAAGGGGCCCACGTGGCAGGAACATTCAACCAGCTCCTTCCAGGCTGGGCCCATGGCTGGCCCTCAGAGACCCACGGTGTCTCTCCCACCCCTCTCCCCACCTCATCTCACAGCCCCAGGAGCCAGCAATTACACCGGACCCCGCCCCCATTTCCTCCCCCAGCCCCCAACACCAGCTCATTCTGAGCAGCCCCTCTGTCCAGTCTTCCTTCCTCCAAATCCCAGCACAGCCCTCTTCCCCGTGGACAACACCTCCTTCAGAACCAGGGCGTGGTGGGTGGCTGAGTGGGTGGGTGGCCAGGGGAGTATGCGCTCTTAAGCGCTGGCTGTGGGAGGAAGCAAGGGTGCCCCAGTCCCTGATTCCTGGCTGCGTGAACTACCAGTTCCCCAAACGTGGCCCTCCTGGAGGACCCTCGCTAAGCCCTGGGCGCACCTCCTTCTCCGTGGACTGAGGGCACAAAATCCTGAGTTGCAAGGCCCAAGCGTCCCAGAGGCCCTGCGGGGACAGGAAGCGTCCTCAGAGGGAGGGAGCCATGCAGATTTCAGGAGCAGGCGAGCCACGGCGCACCCTGTCTCAGGGACACACCTGCCGTTCTCCATCACTGCTGTCATGTGGGCCCCACGTGGCCAGAACTCTGGAGTCAAGAAAAATCTGGATTTTTTCATATATGGTTATTTCTAATTTTTATTTATTTATTTAAATGATGCATAGATGATTCACAACGTTGTGTTAATTTCTGGTGTACAGCATAGTGATTCATTCATGTGGCTACATACACATATCCCTTTCCATACTTTTTCATCATAGGCTATCACAGATATTCAACACAGGTCCCTGTACTGTACAGTAGGACCTTGCTGTTCATCTATCTTATATAAAGTACTGTGTATCCTGAACTCCTAACTTATCCCTTCCCATTCCCTTTCCCTCCTGATGACCATAAGTTTGTTTTCTTTGTGAGTCTGTCTCTATTTGGTAAACAAGTTCGTTTGTGTCCCTTTTTTTAATACCCCACAAATAAGTGGTCTTATATGGCATTTTTCTTTCTCTTTCTGATTTACTTCACTTAGTATGACAATCTCCAGGTTCACCCATGTTGCTGCAAATGGCATTACTGTATTTTTTATGGCTGAGTAGAATTCCATTGTGTGTGTGTATATGTACATACACACCACAATTTCTTCAACCAATCATCGACGGACATTTAGTTTGCATCTATCTGTGTCTTGGCTATTGTAAACAGTGCTGCTGTCTCCTGACTTTTTAAAATAGTGGCACAGAGCAAAACAATCTCTTTAAAAACACCATGCTGTCAAACGAAATCACATTCACAGGCTGCCGTTAGGCGAGTGGGCCCCGCCTGTGACCTTGGGTTGATGATGTGCACGCACCCTACCCCCCCACCCCCTGCCGAGGGTGGCAGGGTGTGGCCATGCAGGGACCCCAACCTGCTGCAGCCCCGCCTCCACCAGGGGCTATCCGGCCAGATAACCACAGGGTGCAAACTCCCGTCCAAAGAAGACCGAAGTGCCCGGGGAGAGGTCAAGTGCCTGGCAAATCCTCCGAACGTCCAGGGCATCCATGGCTGAATGCCCGTAACTGTGTCCTCACATGGTCCCCAGGTTTGAAGGATGAGACCTCCAGGCTGTGAGACTGTCGGAGCCCCTGCCCTTCTACTCTGTGCCCCGGCCCTAATCCAGCCCCAACCACACTCAACAAACGTCCCACGGGTGGACCCACAGAAGCGTGGCTCAGCACCCGAGGTGCTGCATCAGGGACCCGGAGGAGGAAACGCTGCCTCCTTTTCCCTGTGCTGGAATCATACAAAACCCTGGACAGTAGGAGACGTCATCACGGGAATAACCAGAATATTTGGTGATGAAACTAAAGATCGTTTTTTAAGGCCAGCTCTAATGTCCCACGAGCGGCTGCCTCTGTACAGAGGACGTGGTGATGAGAGCAGCACCCAGGTGGGAAAAATTAGCTGATAGTTTGTCCCAAAGCTGCCAGGACAGAGTCCCCCCGCATCCTGTCCCCCATCGGAGGACTAAAAACACGCTCCAAGTCCCGCCCTGGAAACGCCCTCCACTTCCTCCGTGGAGAACCGGTGGCTTTTGTTTTTTTTTAAACTGTCTTCATCTCCCACCTCCCAGGGTGTCCGTGTGCGGCCGCAGGAGCCAGCAAGAGCGGTCATGAACCTGTCACTCTGCAGACTGGACATCCCCTGCATGACCACAACAGCAGATTCGATGACCGGCTGTGTGAGGAACCGACTGGGCAGAAAAGTGGCTTTTGGCTGGACCAGGGCAGCAGGGAGCGGCCTTAGGGCTGCTTCCTCTTTCGCCTGCAGGATGTGAATGCACTCAGAGGGCACACAGGATGTGACGAACTGCTGCGGGGCGCCAGGCGAACACAGGACCAGGCTGCATGGGGAGGGTCGCCACACTGCCTCTGGGAGGGAAAATGACTGTCGTCCCCCAGAGCGCACGAGGGGCCCACCCCTGCTTACACCATCCTCCGAACAAGAATGCCCCTGCTCTCCGGCTCATGAACTCAAGGCTCCCCAAAGCCCGGCCTGAACCTCATTGGCTCCCAAAGGCCCACCTCAGTCCCAGTGCGCCCTCTGCCACACGCACCAAGGGCTTCAGGACCGTCCGTGCCCTTCGGCCCACAGCTGGGGCTTTACCCCCAGGAAGCAATCAGACGCACAGAAAGATTTATACACGGGACGTTTGCATCAGTGTTCAAACAGCAAATGCTGGAAACAATTTGGGTTTACGTAGATTTTTGAAACCCATATGCTGAAGTCCTGCAAAGTCATCAAAATCACGGTTCTGAAGATGAGACATGCTGGGAAGACGAAGTAAAAATAGCAGGGTCCAAGAAGCAGGCAAGGGCCTGACTTCATCTCCCACACACATGTGCAGGGGCACGCACACGCGAGCACAGCCAGCTCTGGAGGGAATTGAGGGCTGTGTCATTCACGACACTCTCCTGCCTTCCCCCGTGTGCCTGCGCTAATGTGGGCCACTTCATATTTTCAGGGGATAAAACCATCAACGCTGTTCTCAAGAAGCAAACCTTGCTCAGAGGGGGAGGGGTGAAGCAGCCTCCAGCCCAGCCCTCCCGGTGCAGCAAGCACCTACAGCCTCAACAGCCAGATGCAGACCTCCCGGCGTCCATGCCCGGGGGGCGGAGCAGGAGCAGCCGGGATCTGGGCCCGTTTAGGGAGGAATGCGCCGCACACAAGAGCCCATTGTGAAGGCCCCCCGCGCTGACCGCCCGCAAATCTCTCCCTGCTCCCGAGATGCTTCCTGGTGTACCCGTCAGGCCTGGGTCTGGGGAGGGGACCCTGGGGCGAGCCACAGAGCCCCGCAAGGACAGATGAGCCACAGAGCCCAGCCTAGGGCAAACATCAGGCAAGGAAAGCCAGAGTCCAAGTCAAAACACACCCATGTGCAGCTCCCCAGCGGGGCAGAGTGGCCGCTGCCCAGCTCAGGGGTCCGACTTTAGGCTCAGGTCGCAGGAGCACTGGCCCTGGTTGAGTGAGTCCCTTCCAGGTTCTGTCCTGAAGAAACCGGCCACTCAGGAGCCAGGGTCGGGCCACCTGGGAGCCAGGGAACCCAAAAAGATGGTGCCAGGAGGAAGGCACCTCTCAGACGCCTGAACTGCAGGGAAGGGTCACAGGAAAACCCCAGCCTAAAGGTCAGTGCACGGCCACCAGGGCTCACAGAGCAAGTCCAGGGTATGCGTGATCACTGGGGTGGGCTGGACGCAGCCCCCGTCTTCTCACCCTCCTGTAGGGCAGGGAGCTGGGGCTGCAGCTGGGGTGGACCAGCTTCCTCTCGTGCGGCAGGGAAAACAGAAGAGGAGTCAGTGGGCCAATGGGCCGGCCCCAGAAACAACAACTCCTCCAAAGGAAAGGAACGGGGCCGGGGGACCCTTCCAGGCAGAGGGAAAGGCAGGGGACAAAGG